TGACAACCCTCCTCTTAAGTGCAATAATTTTTCTAGTGGATCTGTCTCTACTTTTTAAATGAGCCATTGGATCAGAGAGAAGGAACAACTTGTATATGTCTTTGAGATAGTAACAAAAAATGAATTAAAGATTTTCTCCATGAAGTTTCTATTCATGCCTAAATATACAGTTTACACCCACCTACAGGCTAGAGATTATGATTCTTCAAATTTTACTTTTGTGGGAAGCACTTTTTGAATCACTTTCCACATAAATAATTCAATTTTAGGAGGAATGGACAATTTTCTTAATTTTCAAATATAAATATTTGAAGTTAACATTAATGGGGAATTGTACTTTTTTTTTGTCATACCAACTTATCCTATGATGGAAATTCTGAAAAGAAGAAGCAAGAATTTTTTAGCGGTATCCTTATCACAAACGAAGCTAACAAGTTTCTTATTTCTCAAATCCAAATAATGCAGCACAAGATCTTTCATTGTAGCGTTAGTAATTTAAATCAAGCTTATCATGCTAACCCAAATAAATTTGAAAAAAAAAATTTAGGCCATGCTTAATAAAATAATTTTTTAATATTCAAGCCTATTTAATTACTCGAATAGTTCCAAATAATATTTTTATTTTTTCATAAATAAATTCTTTATGCCTTAGCTCATTTTATATTAAGAGACTGTATATTTGAGTATATTATTATAGAGGTATTAAAAATTAAAAAAATTATTAAACCGATCAATGTAGTGGTTCGTTGGGGTTAAATCAAAAGTCAGATCAGTTATAATTAAAATAATAAAATTTAATTAAAATATATAGAATATTATAATAGAAAAATATATAGAATATTAATATATAGAATATAAGAAAAAACAACAATTGATTGAAATAGAAAAATATTTTAATTACCGAGATATACTTTAAAAGTTAAGAGATAGTAAAGCCAATAATTTGAACCAAACCTGACAGGTCAGTCCAAATTCGCTTAAAAAAAGTTAGGGTCGGGCTTGGTTATATGAGTTTTTTTTTAAGAGGGTAGGATATTTTAAGCTTGATTCGAATAAGCCTGGCTCAAATTGAGCCCAACCACTGAAATTTTCAGCTCTATATATATATAGTGTTGGTAATTTTGATCAAGCCTGACAGGCTAATCCGAACCTAGCCAAAAAAGTTAAAATCATATTTGGTTATATGAGCTTTTTTAAGAGAATAATATATTTTAAACTCAGTTCAAATTGAATATGATTCGAATAAATTTGACTTATCTGGGTTATCTACTCTAAGAGAGAGAGGGGGGTGTTAATAATAATATTTTAAATATTATTTTTGAAAAGCCTGCAACTAAGACACAAGTTATTACTAATATTATAATATAATTGAAAAATTAAAAAACGTTAAGTCCTATAAGAAAAGTGAAGGAGACGTGGATCAGTTGCTATGGACGGCACATTGCAAAATAAAAAATAAAATTTTGAAATTGGGACAATTTCAAATAAATACCCTCAAACCATGCTTATTTAAATTTAAAGTTCCTAAATTTTTAAAATTCTATTATAGTTTAAGGTACTGATTTGACATTAAATTTTTTTTAAAAATAAAAAAATTATCTCTCATTTAAATTAATATCAAAACTGTCTTATTTTATTTGTTTATTGCTTAACTTTATTTGTTAATTTACTTAAGGAGTATTGTTAATTGATTTACTTCACTTGTTCGTTTTCTTAAAATAAAATTAAGTGAAATTCTAACAATAAATAAGTGAAATAAGACAATGAACAATAGTTCATAAGTAAATGAACAACATATAGTATATAAATTAATAAGTTGTTTTAAGATAATTTAAATATCTAAAATAAAAATAAATTAAACAGCACAATGAATAATATTTCATAAGTAAATTAACAAGTGAAATAAATTAATGAACAAGTGAAATAGAAAAGTTCTAAAATTAATTTAAATGAGGGTCAATTTTATCATTTTTTTAGAAATTTAATATCAAATATTACTCCTAAATCACAGTAAAATTTCATAAATTTAAAAACTTTAAATTTATATAAGTATGATCCAAGAGTTTTTATTAAAATTCTCCCTTTAAAATTTTTACTCCTCATCTGCATGTGGCTTTCATCTTACTTTCATGGAGGAGTTGAAGTCACGGCTTTGGTATTTGGTTCCTAAACCTTTTCTTTCCTTTGACATTTTTACTTATACTCTTTTCGTTCAAAAATATAAAGTATTTTTTGAAGAGTTGAATGTCAAAAAATGTAAAACATTCTTAATCTTTTGAGATATAATTATTGCTTTTTTTTTTAAAATGTCCCCATTGATAATGACTTTATATTTATCGTAAGTGTTTAATAGTAGTAAATATGAAAAGATAGGGTTAATTTAAAAGTAGGTAACTACTTTATTAGAAGTGAGATTCTATTAAAAATACCTTATATTTTTTAAACAGAGGGAGTATCATCTCTCTCTCTCTCTCTCTCCCCCCTCCCTCCCTCCCTCCCTCTTCATCCCTTTCCTTTTATTCATCCATGTTCTTCATCTCTTTCCGTTCAAAAATATAAAGTATTTTTTGAAGAGTTGAATGTCAAAAAATATAAAACATTCTTAATCTTTTGAGATATAATTATTGCCTTTTTTTAAAATGTCCCCATTGATAATGACTTTATATTTACCGTAAGTGTTTAATAGCGGTAAATATGAAAAGATAGGGTTAATTTAAAAGTAGGTAACTACTTTATTAGGAGTGAGATTCTATTAAAAATGCCTTATATTTTTTAAATGGAGGGAGTATCATCTCTCTCTCTCTCCCTCCCCCCCCTCCCTTTCCTTTTATTCATCCATGTTTTTCATCTCTTTCCTTTCTTTCTTATTTCTGGTGCCAGGTTTTTTTAAAGGTAAAAATTGAAATTTGTTTAAAAATCTAACTACTATATTTTCCTCAGTCAGCAAATAACAATCTCTTATTTCTTTCCAAGTCAACAAATATGCCAAGCTAAGATATTTTCCAGACTTAGTCACAAATTTAATCCCTAACTGAGTACTTGTGAATCTCTTCTTGTCATGAGGCACATTAGAGCTAAATGTCACTAAAAATGTAGATTTAGATTTGTTAATGTATTAGCAAAGAGCATGATGTCATCTGCATATATTAAATGCCTCCGAGGAAGAGAATCTCTTGAAATTGCAAATCCTTTTCCAAGTCGCTTCTCAAGGATTTTCACTCTCTCTAAAATATCAATTGTAATAAACACAGTACTATTCAAAATTATTCTTCCTTCAACAAAAGCATTCTGAAACGATGAAATGAGCTTTATCCAAGATTTCCAAATTAGTCCATTGCACAACAGTTTTAGATGTTATCTTGTAAAGTACATCACAAAGACTAACAGGTCTAAAATCATCCATTGACTAAGACGAGTGGCCTTTATGGATCAAAATAATCGAAGTATTATTCAACACAATATGAAATGATCTATGCTAAACAAAGTGATTGAACAAATCCATGATATCATCTTTCAAAATCTCTCAAAAACACTGAAAGATCTGGCACTATATCCTTCCTGCCCAGGAGTAGCCATTTCCTCTGTATTAGTCACCCAAGATCCATTATCATCTCTAAGCTTTAGAATAGCATTACATGACCTCCTCCTTTCCACAACACTATGAACATAAGCTGTATTTCTTTCCCCATTTAACACCCATGACATTTTAGCTTTTTGAGCCTCTAAAAGACTCTTCACACTCATACAAAAATTCTAATTGTTTTCTAAAAAAAAATTAATTATTTAATCCCTATAGTTTTAACTCAATTGTAATTCAATCCTTAAGTTTTAATTTATTATAACTCAGTTCTTAAAATTTTGATTAAATTATAATTCAGTTTTTGAACTTTAATTTTGTGTAACTTAGTTTCTATAGTTTTAATTATTTAAAATATTAATCTCTATATTTTAAAAAATAAAATTAGAAAGATTAAATCTTTATAATCTTTATCAAGTTAAAAGTTTTACTAATTTAAAATTAATCCCTAAATGTCATCATAATTTTAATTTTTAGAATTTTATTTTCAAGATAAAAAGACTAATATTTTAAATAATTAAAATTAGAAGGATCGAGTTATAATTGAGTCAAAATTTTAAAGACTGAGTTATAATAAGTTAAAATTTAAGAAATAAATTATAAATGAGTCAAAATTACAAAAATTAAATAATTATTTTTTCTTTTCTTAAATTTAAATTCTGTGCATCGACACCTTTGAAGTTCGAAATTCGAAGTTTACATGCTGCAATATTAGAAAGCATTTGTTCAAGCTCATTAATTTTGTTTTGAATCCTGCCATTTTTTTTTTTGTTTATTCCAAAATAACAATTCTCCCTTCAAAGCCTCAAGTCTGTATATCATTTGATAACTAGAATGATTTGCTTTTACAAATTGCCACATAGAAGATACCAACGAACTACAATCTTGAAACTTCAAAAAAATGTTGAGGTCACGGTTGCAAGAATGTCAATTCAACTTCCCACTCATTTGAAAGTGGCATTTAGATGATCTTCCCCTAATAAAACACATCAAGATTATCATAGAACTTGTCACGCGTAATTGGACCGTCTTGATCAATCATATCTTAAAAGAAGCAAATACTTGATTGGTTAACTCCCTAATTTAATCAATATAAGTTTAATACTACTGTCAACGATGATCCGCTATTTTAATGCAGAGACTTGTTATTAACTGATCTTACCTAGTTTCATGACCTTCGTATTAAAAAACATTCTCATCAATTTAAGTCTTCAACTATCTACAATGTTGGACAACATAATACCATGATTCTTTTTCCTTATTTAACATTTTTCAAAGCATTTTTTTTTTCCAATCAAAACATAAACAAAAATATTTTACTTTCTTAAAAAAAAAAAAAAACATAAGAAACTAGACTACCAGACATGCGGGTCGGGATCAGTCGACAACAAAATAGGGTTTTTGTGAAGTTCTCTGGAAAAATTCTGAGGGCCTTTCATTTGTGTCATGAGATAACAGGATAATGGATCAGAAAATCCCATTCCACAAAAAATTCATGTATGGTCCAAAGACGAGATCATCGGCACAAAAGATACGGATATGATTGTTCATGTTTTGTTTCATTATATAGTTATTGTTTAATCCAAAATTCATATATAACTCTTCCACGCCACCACTGCGCTCCTTCCCTGTCTGAATTTTCGGTGGAACAAAGAAATGGAAGCTAATGCACAGGCCAATCGCCGCATTGCAACAATCAGGAATCAGCTTCTGCCTCCTAATTTTCAGGTTTCTTCCTTTGATTTGCTTAAATTATCGTGTCCTCTTCTGGTAATTTAAACTTAAAAGCTCGGGTTGATTTTCGATTTGTCAATTTGGACTGAAATTCGAATTCGGATAGTTCAGACAACACAAGTAGGATTGAACGAAAGCTGATTGGTTATATGTTCCAAAAAATATAGAAACTCAGCAAATGACGAAATTGGAAGCTTTAATTCTCAATTTCTCAACGTCTAAACCTATATGGCTGTAATACTTGTTTCAAAATCCGAAACTATCCTGCTGGGTCGTTATAATTTGTTCATTTGAATTCGAAATTTCATGACTGGCGTAAGTTGCTGTGTCATCAAGTGAATTTGAGATGCTCTTTGCTTATCGTATTTGATAGGAAGGCGGTGATGTTCATCTGAAGAGAGTTGATTGCCGAGCGAAAGGTGGGTCACCTGGATTCAAAGTTGCTATCTTAGGTGCTGCTGGGGGAATTGGCCAACCCCTTGCTTTGCTGATGAAGATGAACCCACTAGTTTCAGTTCTTCATCTTTATGATGTCGTAAACTCCCCTGGTGTCACGGCTGATGTTAGTCACATGGACACTGGAGCTGTGGTAAATTTCTGACTTGGCTGCTACTTGGTGTCTTAGTGTTCAATTATTGATCTATGGAGCATGGATACTTTATAAAAATGAGTTTCTGATCCCAAATTGCAGTCACACAATACCCTCTCTTCGATTTTCAATACAAGTCACATTTTAGAAAGTTTTCATGGTTGATGGTTCTAAATATAAGTTACTTTGTTAATTGTGTTATTGAAAGAGAAGATATAAGAAAGAAATTAAAGATAACTAAAATAAGGTGATTTTAATTGGAGGGTAATTTTGAAAAGTAGTAATTATGTGAAGTAGTTGAAAGTGACTTATATTAATTTGTGTGAAGTAATTAAAAATGATTTATATTGATTGAGTACTGGAGGAGCATTTTGTTGTGTCGTCTTGTGAGAAAGCCTTAGACATACCTCTGTGTGTTTGCTATTGCATTCTTCAACCAAATTATGACATGTGGGAGATTTCTTTTGAAGGAGTTACTTGCTGCTGAATTGGAAAAAAATGTTGGAAGTGTTTGACAGGACATGTTTAAAAGACCACATCCATGCCTTGTTCTTTAAGGAGCTAGATAGTTATTTGCAAATTGTTTTTGGTTGTTTAGGTGCGTGGCTTCTTGGGTCAACCACAGCTTGAGAGTGCGCTCACTGGCATGGACTTAGTGGTTATACCAGCTGGTGTTCCTAGGAAGCCTGGAATGACAAGGGATGATTTGTTTAAAATAAATGCTGGAATTGTGAGGACTCTTTGTGAAGGAATTGCCAAGTGCTGTCCCAATGCAATTGTCAACTTGATTAGCAATCCGGTGAACTCTACTGTTGCTATTGCTGCAGAAGTTTTTAAGAAAGCTGGCACATATGATCCAAAGCGGCTGCTCGGTGTTACAACCCTTGATGTTGTGAGAGCAAATACTTTTGTGGTAAGCAAAAGTCAGAACCATCTGTTGAGAAAAAGGCCTTTAATTTATCATTCCTTACTTCAAATCCTATCTTGTTTTTCTTTCAGGCAGAGGTACTGGGTCTTGATCCTAGAGAGGTTGATGTTCCTGTCGTGGGAGGTCATGCTGGAGTCACAATATTGCCTCTGTTGTCACAGGTTTTGCTTTGAAGGTCCCTCTGATTCAAATTATTATATGGTACAACTGGCCAATTAACAGTCTTAACTTGTTTCTCTTAGGTTAAGCCTCCCAGTAGCTTCAGTCCTGAAGAAGTTGATTACCTTACCAACCGCATCCAAAATGGTGGAACAGAAGTTGTTGAGGTGATGTTATATGAATAAATTATCTAAAGTTGTGATTATAAGTATATTGAAATTTAATCGTTGATCTTAATTTGTAGCTTTTCTTGATATATTGATAATCTACCTCTTTTCTCTTTCCTTCTTGCTTGCTTCTCCCACACATCTCAAAAACATTAATCATGGTGGTCATTTAAACTTTTATACTTTCTATTTAGAAGTTTCTGGAACCTTGTTGATGCCAATTTGCTATTCTGATATTTCAATCAAATATTAAAAAAATGATAGTATATCTGTCAGATATTAGTGCTCAGCTGATGAGATCAAGAAGATTCGAATTGCATGAATTATCCTTCTCATTAATAAATACTTGACGATAATACAATATTAATACTTGCTTATGTGACATTCTGACAGACTGAAACATTAATCATTCAAGCTTGTTATTAGTTTGACTATATGATCCAAGAAACAGCCTAGATTTTCTTAGTAATAACAGAAGAGATTCACAATGGTTCAAACTATTATGTCCCCCCCCCCAACAGTTCTAGTTATGATCTATTCATCATGAGTTTGTCATCTAACGACAATCATTCATGTTACAGGCAAAGGCTGGGGCTGGTTCTGCAACTCTATCAATGGTCAACAGCTTATCTTTTAATTTTTGCAGTTTCAGGAATTATTACCTAGAACCAATGGATCCTATCTACTCATAGTGGGCAGACTAACAAACTAGAAAGTTTACCTTTGATCATGTAGGCGTATGCAGCTGCCAAATTCGCTAATGCATGCCTCCGCGGCTTGAAAGGAGAAGCCGGGGTGGTGGAGTGTGCTTTTGTTGCTTCTGAGGTCTGATATTACAGTCCTTTTCCTTTTCCACTTTCTACATCATTACTCATGAACTTGACTTAATGATGGATGATGTCTTTAATAGGTTACAGAACTTCCCTTTTTCGCGACCAAGGTACGTCTTGGCCGTGGCGGAGCTGAGGAGGTTTATCAACTCGGACCCCTGAATGAGTATGAAAGGTATGACTAGAGTATCCAATTTTCTGCTAATTTCTTTGTTGAAATTGCCAAGCAACATGGATGGCAACTTTTGTTGTTTGATTTTTGTTAGGATCGGCTTGGAGAAAGCAAAGAAAGAGTTAGCAGGAAGCATCCAGAAAGGGATTGACTTCATCAGAAGTTAAATGATGTCAGGAGTTAACTGGGTTTTGTCCCAACGACAACGACCTCGTGTGATAATAATAATAATAATAATATAATAACAATCCCCTTGTTTATATTAGATTTTTCTCGAGCCTATTGTTGTGATTTTGGTTTTACCATTCGTATGAAATTGGAGTAAACTGGAAAACTATATTGTAATTTTAGTACGTGATCCCAACTTTTTTTGAATACTTCCATACAATGAACTGTGAATTATTTTCTTACAATTTACATCAGAAATAAAGTGCGGCACTGTAGATGTAAGATGTCAAGCGTTTGAGATATAAATTAAAATTAAAACTGGTAATATTGTTTGTAGATGATTGTATGTTCTGTTAAATGAATCCTCTCTTTCTGAGGGAATCAGTCATTGTAAAGGGCCAAAAAAATAGAATATATGCTATTTTGCGTGTGCGCCATTATACATCGCATGAAAAAGCATACGCACCTCAAAGTCACAAGTCAAACGAAGTGCAACTCTTGCATGTAAAATTCTTTATGATGGTCTCTTAAAACATCGCATCTCAGCAAAGATACATATTTACAGGTTTCATGATGATTAGGTATATAATCAACTTCTTAACGAAAAGAATATAATCAAGTTAAAAATTAAAACCTCCTATATTTTTACAATTCCATTCGTTAACTCCATCAAAATCAAGCTCCTCCTCCTTCATCTCACAAGGTGAAGGGGTTGGAAGGAGCGTCAATTATTGGCACCTTAGACATGGTCACATTTCCAGTCAGCACACTTGGTGCCACAGTGTCTTCCACAATTACAGGGTTCACAGGCGTTACTCTCTCTGGTATCACTCTATCACCATCAACCTTTGCCAGCACCTCAAAATGCATCCTCACTGTCTCTGGCTTAGTCCTCCATTCTGGGAAATCCTTAAACACATCTTCATCTCCTTCCTTAAGCCTTTTCTCTGCCTGAAACCCTATCTTCACAAATGTCTGAGCAGAAACATCTGCCTTCAACAACTTGAAGGAGCCTTTCTTGTTTGCCTTAGGACCCAACACAGAAGACAAGAGAGCCTCAAAACCCAACAAGTTAGGGTTTGATCCATTGATGGAAGCAACAGGCCACATTGTGGTAAACTGAGTTGGAGCCAAGAGAGTCGGCGCATCATTTAGGATATCAATGGGAGATAGTGTTTCAATGGCCTTTGTGTTTACTGGGGAAGATAGTTCCACCAGACCTGGTGCAAGGCGCTTGAGCTTGAGCCGGTTATGTGAAGAGGGTGAAGAGGATGGGGATGAAAGTGATGTTGGACCAACAATGCGGAGAGAGAGAAGAGGATCACCCTGTACGTGGGTGCGGGAAGCATGGCGGAGCTGCTCCGCCAAGGCCATAAGACCAGCGGCGAATCCATTGTGTGTTTGGTTCAAAGGGAGGGGGATATCAAGTGGTTTGCGAAGGCTAACTGATCTAGCACCTTTAACAGTGACAACAGCACCATCTGCTATTATCACTTTCTTGAGCACACCAGCATCAACGTCATGCTGCAAAACCAAACCAAGTTCTAGTCAGAAAAATAAAATCGATTCCATTCATGCAGAATACAGATCAACAGGAAGAACCATCCAAGGATGTCCTACTTATGCTGAGGATTTCACTACTTACTCTGTTAAATCCTAAAAACATAGATACTAGTATGGATACTAGACATAACGGCTAACGCAGACATCTCCAAACAACAAAAACTGAATTATTCAAGTTGAATTTGAAACATCTCATAGCGACAGACTTGATTTCATTCTTCTTCTATTTTGGTGCTTCAAAGATACCACTTGACTATTGGATACTAACACAACATACAAAATCCAAGGGTTTGGAACAAATTAAATCCATGAAATTTGGGTGAGACGGGCACCATCAATTTTTTTTTTTTTAAAAAAACACAGATAGCATTGAAGTTCAAGTTATTATTCTTATCAGTTTAATTAGTTATTCTTATCCACAATGTCATTTCAATTCTTGTCGAGATCTTCTAATTTAATTACATTCGAGATAAAAAAAAAAAAAAGCACAAATTTTGACAGGGATTTAAGACCCAAGACACTGGCACAGGAGAAATACTGAAACATGATAGAACAATTCCTAAATGCAATGTGGTGAATGTATCTGACAAGAATGTACTACTTCAAATAATAATTCCTTGCCAGTCACATCATAATATGCAAATCATACTCGGTTTCATACCAAGGGACTCGTCAAATACCAATAGAACAACTTATTTTTTCATCCTAAATTATAAAACAATTTGAAACGATGTATTTTAATAAAATTCAATAACAACACTTGATAAATTTATTTTTTCTAAACAAAAATATAAACATATAAAAATTACTTTTTATTTAATATAATTTTAAACTCTCACACTTAATCATTACATTACATTTCAATTTTCTCTCACTTAAACGGTAAAATTGAAAAAGAATTACTCTCTCCATTAAAAAATATAAAACATTTTTAAATGAATTTCACTTCAATAAAGTAGTTATTTATTTTTAAACTAACCTTATCTTTTCATATTTATTTCAATTAAACACCATATAATAAATATAAAATCATTGTTAACAGGAGTACTTTTTTAAAAAAAAAATTATTATATTTTAAAAAATTAAAAATATAATATTTAACTCCTCAAAAAATGCCTTATATTTTTAAAAGAAGGGAGTATTAACTTTTTAATTAAATTGTCTTATATTTTAAAACATTTAAATAAATCATTACATTTACATGCTCAATAGGACAAATGGTTTCCCAAATTTCGCTCAAGTTGTAATACTCTTAAATCATGTTAATGTCTAGCAGTCATATATAAGATAAGACAAGGCCAAACAGAGTGATGATGTTTCAAGAATGGAACAAAGGAACTTACAGGGAGGGAAATCCTCATATCCTTGGCGTCCTGGATCCAGAGTTCCATGGGTCCAGCCAACTGAAACGGAGCCAAAACTGGCAACCTATCACCCGAACTCCTCTTCTCAACCAGCCCCTTTTCTTCGCCGGGTTGAATCGGTTCCTCAACCCGGAAAATCGGGAGATCAACGTAATCCCACCGGTTCACGTCCTCTAAAAGCTTGAACGGAATAACCTTCTGATCAATCTCCAGGTCGAACTCGTACGCCACAGAATGCCCCACTTGGGCATCTCTCGGGTCAAATCCGCTTATCTTCAAATCCTCCGATGGAAACCCTAACCCTTTCACAATCGCTTCTTTCAAATCCTGCAAATACCGTATACGCCATCATCAGAACCGCATCGATATAGAAACTGATTCACACAAATTAGTTAAAAATACCCAGAATCACAAGAACAAAGTTATTTTTCATAATTTTCCCCAGTGCCAAAGCACCATTCAGGAAAATCATCAGCTCAACAAAACAAAAAAAAAAATTAAACGGTAAAAAACATAAAAGATCGTAATTAAAGAATTCTGGTCCATAATTCTCCATTAGATTGCAAGAAACCAAACACAAGGAGAGAAAATAAAAACCCAAGAAAAAGCTGGCATACAGATATCGCCTTGGGGTACGGCGGGTTGACGGCATCGGAGGTGGAAGGCAAAGCTGAGGAGAAGGAAGAAAGAAGAAGAAGCAGAGCGAATGCGATGATCCGAAAGCGAAGCGATCCCATCTCGTGGCAAAAGCACAGAAGTATCAACAAAGAATGGGGAGAGATGGAATGGAACCAACGAGAAGAAGACACTCGAAATCGCAGGGGAAAACAAAATCCCTCTCAAGCTCTCCAACGAAATGTTGAGAGGGGTTTATACTTTACAGCCAGTTAGCGAAACCTATATTTGGAACAATTTTTAATTTTAATTAAATTATGATGAGATAAAGATAAATTTATCAACTACCAATTATTCTTTCAATAAAAAAAAAAGACTTACCAATTATTCTAAATAAATTTCATGAATCTAAAATTGATAATAACTAGAATCAATCATCAGCATTTCGTTGATTCATGAATCATGATCGTATGATCTACGACGTATGAATATTAGACATAAATGGTATGAAAATTAAAAAATGGATAGAATTCAACAAATTACAATTACAATTATATAATATATTGAAAAATTAAATTTATATAGAAACAACTCTTCCTTTTTAATGTATATTATATAAAAAGATATATTTTTTGTAATTCAATTTTATTATTTATCCCATTTGATCTTTAAAAAAATACTAGTTTTACTTGGTTTTTTTAAGGAAAAAAATCGAGGGGAAAAAAAAAAACAGAAGAAGGGCTAATTTTGGGAAATCAAGATTTGACTGATTAAAGAGGCTTCTGGTTGTTTCTGGGTGTGTGGTCGAGATTGCAGGAGTGCTGACGTGGAGGAAATAAGCCAATGAGAATTGAGGTTGTTGTATGGAGAACGAATGTGATTGGGTGGGACTTGTTGGAAGCACGAAGCCGAGGATGAACAAGAATTTTTAGGGTCACGCGGCTTTGATTATGGAGCGTGAAGGAGAAGTCGGTCCTCGTCAACACGACAGCGTTTCGAAGGCGTCGATGAAACAAAACCCAAAAGAATGAAAAAGAAACACATGGCGTCGCCCGGACTCGAAACGGAGACCTTCAGTGTGTTAGACTGACGTGATAACCAACTACACCACGACACCTTGTTGATGTTAATGGTTTCTTAATTTTATTATTTATAAAATCAATGCCCATACTTTCCCCACTACCCATTCTAATTAACCTTTTCTGCAAGGAAGGGAGTCTCCAACACATACATCACTCACTAAACATAGATGAAAAATATAAATTTTAATAATTATCATTATCTTTGTATTTAAAACCCTAAAGCGTGCAATCATGATTAGGGATCTCTATATTTTGTTTCATATATTTTTGCTTATCTGTTATTGGTTGGTCCTGAATTGAATTAATTATAAACAACGAGAAGCCACATGCGAATGAATTTCTTAAAGAGTGCAACATGACTATGCATTATGCCTTTATAACCCATCTCGAAAATACCTGTTGCACATTTGGTTTGGGTTTCGGCTTAGCAAATAGTTCAATGCCACACAAAAAATACATTTAGGAATTGGATCTTTTTTATACAATATTGGATGTCAACGTGGGCCAATCCGGGCCCATCTTTGGGCTTAGCATGTGAAGTGGCCCGGGCAGAGCTCAATCACACATGAACTTCTCATGAAGCAAAGAAAGAAAGGCACAAATTGCAAATGGGGTTGAGTTTATACCTTACAGAATGAGGAATTAATAGTAGAATTCTTGCTAAAAGAAGCATATATATGTAGCACATTATACATTAAAATATAGCTGTGTATGGGACTTGATTGGGATAGCCGTATCCTGTCTCACGAAAGAAATGAGATGGAATTTTCATCTCATGTCTTATTTTGTTCTAGAGGTGATCCAGTCTTGTTTAGGATGGAGATGTGAATGTGATAAAAAAAATCTCAGGAAAAAGATACAAAGTGGGAGAAAGAGATAAAAAAAAATAGAATTAAATAACTAATTTTTATGACAAAATTCATATTTTGAAATTCTAAGTAATTAAATAAACGTTTTTTTAATACTTTTTCAGCATTACAGATTTATTGTTTCTACTTCTAGTACCATCCTTCAATAATCTCATCAAGAAGATGTAAAATAATAATAAATCTCGTAAATCTAAGGTAAAATATATTGTCTTATAAATTGAAAATAAACATATTATCTTAAATTATAAGTTGGAATGCACTTGTTATAAAACCAATAATGTAACATCCTGATTTTATTTCCCAAATTAAATGAATTAATTAAGGTTAATTAGAAAAATTTTGTAATAATTAATTTGAGAATAATTAGAAATAACTAATGGTTCTATTGAATATGATAATAGCTTTTAGATTAGGTATAAAGACTTAATAGGCCACCTGGGCCCAAAGTAAGGAGCTAATTTAGGTTAAGCCATTCTGTGCCATCTACTACGATGGATACATAATGTGTTGTGGCGAATGATCAAAAATTTTAAACCAAACAAGAAATGAGGGGGGGGGGGGAGAGAGAGAGAGCATGGAGGGCTGTTAGGGCTTAATTGTTTGGAACCTTGGGAGTGATTTAAGCTTGTTTTCATTTAAGTATGTTTTCCCTACTCCTTATTCTTATTTTGACATGGTTTCAAATTAGGAATTAGGTTGAGAGATGTTGATTTTTAGACCTATGGCTTTGGGTATGAATCCATTGGTTCAAATGAGACTAATATAGGAGTTGTTTAAGCTTTCCATACCAAATTGTGAAAATTTTACAAGGTTGAGAGCTTAGGTTTAAGATTTTGGATGAACGTTAGGTACTTTAAGTTTGATTTTTGATTGATAGGTGTTATAATTGTTAATATTTAGGTTAATAGGAGTTCAATGAGAGTTAATAAACCATTGTATAAAATTGTTTAAATTACTACACACAAATAATCATTACTCCAAATATTACCATGGTAACCAAGGATTAATATTATGCTTCAAAAATTAGACATGACTAGCAAGAGATAAATGTACAAATATATATCTCTTAAGCCTTAATTAAAAAAACCTATAATTTAATATCTTAACGCACTTAAAATATGATTAGAAATCATCACAACAGTTTCATATAAACATAACAATCTCAAATTTTTTGTAGAAATTTTGGCTAAACCTCCCCCATAAATAAGACCTTTTGAAATTTCTACAACAAACAGACAATATAAATCATATATGAGGATCCTATTTATAGCTAATGTGAAGCACATACATGATGTAGACTATAAAAATAATACATAAGCTCATGTTTAGATCAAGTTGAAATTTGTCCAAAGAAATTCTTCTACTTTAGTTCAGTGATAAATCTCCTTAATGATCAATAGGAGATATAAGTCCAACTATTATCTAAGGACAAAATATTATTTAGTAAATTATGTCCCAATTTAAAATTAAAGGAAATAAAGAGAATATGTACTAATGACATAAATCAAGAATTTAACAAAAATATTCATTTGAAAATAAATTAGAAACTCATACTTTATTGGCCACATGATTCTATGTAAATATATAAATCATATATGTATGAATCCAAATAATGATGACATAGTATTAGAATTCCACATTCATATTACAATATATGTTTTAAACAATTAGGAATTATGTAACTCTTTTTGAAATCTATACGTGAAAAAAATAGAACTTATCTACCAAATATCATTTTGAATAAACGGTAAGTTTCAGAACTCATTCTTTTTTAATGAGATTTAAGTATAACAATTGACAAGTTTAAATACAAAGTTCACGAGGGTAAAAAATCAACATACATGGACACACAATTCATAAAGGTAAGTAACCAACAAGTGTGCTTCAAAGCCATAAAATGATTAAGCATGACTATAAGCCATGAAATAAAAGTAGGCACAAAATCTATGAATAACAAGCATGAGTACTAAGCTCATGAATAACAAGTGTGAATATGATGTTTATGAATATGAAATTAGCTAAGATTTGATCATAGCACGCTAAGGGCTAACAACACTACTGTTAACAACCGATTTTCTGCATTTAATCCCATTGAAATATTTTTCAAACATGCATGGAATCAAAAAAATACAATTGGATATGATTTTGAGCTAGAAAAAAACCAGGTGGATTTATTTTTTATTAAAATACCATTTGGCAATTAAAGTCAAAGTAATGGTCAACACTGATGGCAGGGCAAAATTGCACTCTTTTATAAGTTCTAGGGTAATATTGCTTTAAAAAAGTTTTGAATACTAGGCGCTCTTCGTGAAAAAGTTCCATCACATTTTTTCCTATGTATGCAGTATGTTGTCAATTAGCCCTACCTACCCATTCCCCCACTACTAGTTCACAGTTTTTCTTGCAATTAAAATATTATCCTCCCTCCCAATTTAAAGTCGATAGTTCGGATGAGCTAAACTTGTTTCTATTTTAATTAAACTAAAAGAAGAAGGACAAAAAAAAGAATTTGCCTAAATTATTTACAGATGTTTAGAAATATGCTACGTTTTAATTATTTTAATAGCGCAATTGTTATGATGTAAATAGTTTAGGACATTGAATGTTTCTTGAATATAGTTTAAGGGAAAAAATATATCTTAAATCAAATCCCCCTAGCACAACAAGTGGCATATTCAATCAAACTATTCTAATCAGTATTTTTAATGGTCAACGTTGGGATATTTAACAAAAGAAAAAAATATGCTACATTTTATTTACTTTATGTGTGAAATTGCTATGATCAATAATTTAAGACACTAGGTGCTTCTTAAAAAATTCAGGGACAAAAATGCATTTTAACCCAATAATTAATCATAATATTTAAGTTGACCAATTCCATTAGCTGTGTCAAATCTCTAATCTTTTTTTTTTAAATTTATTACAAGTATTATTTTATTGAAAACAATTGTGTTTGAGGTATGGTAGGGCACTTATGCAAACAACTCTTCCATCAAAAGATTCGAACCTTATTTGCCCCATTGTGAGAAGAATTCTTAGTTAGGAATTGGAGCGAGAAACTGATATATAAAGGGGATAAAATCTACCCTTTGTAAGAGTCTTAATTTTATCTCTACTTTTTTTGTCACAACCATTTGTACATATGTATGTATGTACGTATTATACTAATTGTTTTCAATATTAAAGAGAATCTACAAGCATTTATTATATCATGTGTTAGGTTAACCGTCAACGCCAACTAGAGAGAATGGTATCTGGGTACATGGCTACTATGAGAGATACCTTA